TAAATCACAGCGGGATCGGGAACGGTAAGAAAAGGCGGGATTTGTTGTGCGCAGTTAAAGAAAACGCGAGAGATACAACTTAAACTGCATCTAGTCAATTCAGGACAACCTTACAAAGACGAAAAACGGGAAAAAAAGAAGTTCCCTTTTTCGTAAAAACAAACTTGGTCAACCGTGTGTGATTCCGCCACGCTGTATTATTTTAACAAAAGATATTTGAGTCAAAACAAATTAGTGTTCTAGATAGAGCGCAAAAGACTCTTTCTAGAGAAGTAACTTGATCTTCCTGAAAGATCACAAGTGCGACAGAAATAAAACTGCGGAGAAATTTCGTGGCGGAATCACGTGTTCAAAATACCACGTTTACAAATTCAGATGACTGACTCATCTGATCACAGAAATTAATTTCTGTTACGTGAAAAATAAGTTTACTTGTTCTACTTTCGATCCGAGTCGCAAATGGAAAGAAGAAACAACTAACTTTCGCCCCAAATAAAAATGGAGAAACTTATGAGTGTGCTGTTCGTTCACGGTTCAGGGCGCCATCTATTTAGAAGTCTTTTTCTCTAAAAAACGAACGCAAGTGAAGATAAAAAAAATGCATTTTTATATGTTATTCACTATCCTCTACAACATAGCAGTGTTTCTTGTAGCCGAATTTGCACTTCGATTTTGACGTAAAAGTCTATCGTTACGTGGACTGGCCGATATTACTTATATTTTGATACAAGCTTCATTAAATTAATATATTTATTAATAATTTCTTCGTTTAGTTTATAAGTGTATGGATCATCATTTATTGTTGTTGAATTTTCTTGTGTTGGTTTTTAATAATTCTTTTGTCATTTGATCGATGGATGAATGTTCATATACAAAATGATATGGCACTTGTTTAATATCAGCACATATATGATGCCTTAATTGTACGACATGTAATGAATCAATTGATAAATTAAATAATGATTGATTATGATCATTAAAAATACTTGGAGATTTTGATACAATGGTAGCAATTTTTGTTTTTGTAAATAATTTCGAATTGTTTTCTTGTCATTTGGCCAATCTTTTGTTTGATCACTATTCTATTTGAGATGTTCCCGAGCTCTCTAAGATGTTGCGTAATGGAGCTATGCTCAAAACAAAATGAGCAAACAAGGTAACGCTGTGACATCTTTGCTAGTGGAGTTACGTGGACAAGCCGTGCATAACAAATTTTTAAAGCTTCGCGCAGCGAAAACTTCTTTTGGGAAGTGTAAGAAAAAAAATTTAATTTTCGGTGAAAGGAAAGGACAAATTTTTATTTTTGGGAGGATGTACACCCCCTTTGACGCACACACACACCATTTATAGCTCTGTCTGTAACATAGCTGTAAAGTTGCGAGTGATGAAGTTTTTCTCGTCAGTGTTAGAGTCCAAATCGTGACCAAACGTTCTCTCTTGCAGCTGATTTCTACTATTCGTTTGTTTTTCCCACCATTTTTTTCAAGATTAAAACTTCTTCCCAATCTTATGGTCTTATTTTCGTCACATTGAATTTACAATCAATCTTTCCCTCATGCATGGATGAGAGAAAGGTAAAGATGAACATTGTTGAACTAATGCCGTTTGTACACTAATGTCCGTCGTTCTATTCTTCTATTCAACTTTCATTCGGGGGGAACAAACCAAGTGAAAATAAAGAAAAAGAAGAAGACTTTCATATGCGAGACGAATGACACATGGTGAAATAAGAACAAGAATATTCTTTTCTCAAAGCGAAGACAGATATGCGCAGTTAATCAAATGACAATTTGTCGTTGTATGACAACTCTTTCTTTTCTTATTGAGTTGAAGTACAAAATTACGAACGACGTTAGTATAAACATTATTTGAGAGTGAAAGAAGATCTTAAAACAAATAAAAGTCAAAATGTCAAATTTAGAAGCTAAAATAAGCCATTTAATAAAACAAGCTAATAAATTTTGATTATTCCTATCCAATGACTGTGACCTCAGTATCATTTAAAGCTTCACATACGACAGATCTTGGAACATGTAAAAATTTAAAACCAGTCGATAGCGCTGGAAAAATTGAATAACCGTAGGCGGTTGACAAAGTTTTATCAAAAACTTTAAATATCGATGATATTGATGATTACTATATTAATAATCGTAAACAAATTTTAAACTTATAAATAATTTATACGATGTACTCTTTATATATCTGAATGCTTGAAACGATAATATTATCAACTGGTGCCATTATTTGATCGTAGATCGATTGAAAGATAAACAGTCTGTGAAAAGATGATTTAGTTTATGTTAGAAATAGGTGAATGTTAAAGGTATTACAAGTTTACGTTTATCTGTTGAAATTATATGTAAATAATTAGATTATTATTTGAAAATATTTCATGTATAAAATTCAACATTTGTGCAAAAGTGCCTTTATTTTGACTTAAATTTATACTTATATATTTTTTTTCTTGATATATTATTTGATTTGTCTTTGCTTTATTGTAATCAAAGAACACTGGTGTGTATAATTAGCTTAACAAGGCCAATTTTATAGTGAATGTAATCCCAGTTGTAGTGTGATGCACGATTAACGTGGCACGTGGAATTCGAAATGTATAATTTCTTTATTTTATCGTATCATTACGCTCTACATTACATAATTGCTGTATTTAGTTGTAAATATCAGAAAACGATCGTAAAATTCTCAAGATATGGAGAAGAAGATGACACATATATGACCAGAGCATCTCCTTGATAAGGAGGAAATAAACGCTTTAAACTACGAAATATATGATCTCCATGTCGAGTTACACTACTATTCATATGATTTTCACCCTTCCCAAACGTAAAAATGATTCAATTCAATTTTTTCGCCTGAAGTGTTTTCTTGCTAAATTTCAACAACTATGTTTTTCGTTTGGGGAAGATGAAAATCATATGAATAGTGTACCCATGGGGAAATTTTAGTATATAAAACAGCATGCACATCCGTGAATATCGTGAAATGAACTGTGGACGCACGAGAAAATCGTCAAATGGGCACGCATAAGAAATATATTCTACTTTAAAAATATTTTAATAAAATAATGATTATGACTTGTGACAACGCATGAATAAAGTGAGAGAAAATATTGAGAAAAGTTATATACGTAGAACGTTCAAAAAGTTTCTCGGACTGATTTTATTTTAAAAAGGTAAAAGGCTTTGTAGTGTTGGACCTGTTGCCTGTTTGCAGGTCATACAGTCCTCTATTTGTTACGAGCTTTGATCGCTCAAACACTTATTTAGATCACATTGGAACAAGTGGTGCAGATTAAATAACACTCACGAGTCAACCCTGTCTAATTGATAAATAAACTATAATAATATAAACTAATTAGTTTATACTTTTCCAGGATCGAAAAATTCAGTGTCTGTACAATGTAGAATTTGTCGAAAACAATCTATGTAGAAAGAGTAAATACATGCGAAGAATACGTAGGACATTCAAAAAGTTCCTGGACTGAATTTTGTTTTTAAAAAAAATAAAAAGCTTTAGAATCAATCTTTTTTGCAAAAGATACGTCTTGAAGTTCTCTACAAAAAACATATTGAGCGTTTTACTACAAAGTGTATTTTGAAATCTGCTCAAATGCTTTAAAAGAAAATTTACATACTCTCAAAAGTGCGCTACAGTATTGCCCATTTTAGATCTCATTGTTATTCGTATAACTCGCTACTCTTACATTTTATAAGAAAACACTCAATATGTTTGTTTTAGAGATATTTGACCATTAAACCAGAGATTTCTTTTGCAAAAAAATGATTGATTCTTGGGAATGAAAGAAAATAATTATGAAGAAAATACTGACGAGGAAACCTATCCAAGTGATACCTTCCAATTTCATTCATTCATACGTCGATTGATAGAGAATATTGAGTCAGTAAACACCTAAAAGGATTTTTCCCCATGACTCTTGAAGATCCGGAGTTTTTCAAAAACTCTAAAATATAACCAAAACCTTTCTTTTTTAATGAAGCATCATTGTAGCCCGCAAAGTTCTGATTAAAATGAGATATTCCCCAGCTCTACACGATCTTTCTTTGCAAAGTTATAGATCTTACAAGAAAAGCCCTAAATGTTCATTGTCAACTCAAAGCTACAGGAATAAGAACTTAATTAGAGCTTTTCTTGTAAGATCTATAACTTTGCAAAGAAAGATCGTGTAGAGCTGATAGATGTCTCATTTTAATCAGAAATTTGCGGGCTACAATGATGCCTCATTAAGAAAAGTTTTTGGTTACTTTTTAGAGTTTCTGAAAAACTGATTTTCTAGAAAAGCAGGTCTTCTAGAGTCAGGGGGGAAATTCTTTTAGGCTCTTTACTAGCTCGATACCGTCTATCGATCGATGTATGAACGAATGAAATCGGAAGGTATCACTTGGACAGGTTTCCTCGTGAGTGTTATTTAATCCGTACCACTTGTTCCAATGTGATCTAAAAAAAGTGTTTGAGCGATCCAAGCTCGTAACAAATAGAGAACTGTATGACCTACAAACAGGTAACAGGTCCAACACTACAAAGCCTTTTACTTTTTTAAAATAAAATCAGTCCAAGAAACTTCTTGAACGTTCTACTAATATAACTTTTCTCAATATTTTCTCTCACTTTATTTACATAGACAAAAAGTTAAATTCATGCCAAAAGCTCAATGATAAATAAAAGTTGCAAATAATTAGATTTTGGTAAACAGGTAAACCGCTCGATAATAAAATAAAAATTTTTTATAATTACGAATTTTAGATTTCTTTTAATTTAACAACAATGTCATAATGCTTCAATAATGCTGCAATGTCATAGCTTCTTCAAGATAAGAAAAAGAAAAAAAATAGATTACATTCACATGAGTAGCTTCTGTTTAACTTCATAAAATATAAATAAAGATAACACGTTTTTTTTATTCATTCTCCATAGTGGTAAATATAATTAGGCATTTTTTTCCTTTTAGAAAAGAACGAAGTATAATGACTGATATTCCATTTTCTAATGGTCGACCAGATCCCGTTTGGGTACGAGAACGAGCAGATGAAGTTCGTCGAACAAGTGCAACACTTATTCGCGGTTTATTTCCTGTGGAAACGATTGATGCATTAAACATTGATTTTCAGCCGTTGTTAGAGGAAACTATTCGTCAAGAAGGTAACGAAGGAAATCGTGGTAAGAATCGATATTATGTCACACCGTTGTTTCATGGATTATGGGCAGATTCAGAACTCATTGATAATGACGTTATTATGCCTATTGTTGAACAATTAGTAGGTGACGATGGAGTTCTATGTCAAGTAGCAACAGATACACCATGTTTAGGATCAGAATATCAACAATTACATCGGGATACTCAATTGTTATTTCCCGAAAGTGGACAAGAAACACCTCCATATCAATTGGCTGTTAATTTTCCATTAGTTGATGTGACCGATGAGAATGGTCCATTAGAAATGGCTGCATGTACTCATATGTTATCAAAGGAAGATGGTTTACAGAGAATTGAAAAGGGAGAAATTCCAGTGGAACAAGTATTAATGAAACGTGGTGATGTCATGATACGCGATGTGAGACACATTCATCGTGGAACACCGAATAAAACAAATATTCCTCGTCCAATGGTAGTGATCGGCTACAGTCGACGATGGTTATTTCGTCCTGAAGTACAAATACGTGTTCCAAGGCAAACACTTGAAAACCTTTCAAAACGTGCTCAAAAATGGCTTCGTTTCAATCCTATTTTTGACACAATAGAGGAAGCGAATAAAAAAGAAGAAAGCTATCGATCATTCGCCTATTGATCCAATCCTTGACTCCAAAATGAGCATTAAAAATTATTATAGAATCCAAAATTTATTATAAATTTCTATTATCCATACAATTCTGGACACTATCCTCAAACATTTGACTGGTATTTTAAAAAAGCATTCAATAGCTTTTGTGTTACAATTTATAATATTAGAAAGGCAGTATTGTTGAAAAAATAAAAGAAGACTACAATTATTTTTTGAATACTGTGAGAACGAAAAGTGATAGAGAGTTCAGGCTTTAACGATTTTGAAGCGAATACTTTGCTGCATCTTTTCATAAAACAATAAGTTTGCAAATCCTTTTTTAGCGTAGAGTTTGAAAGGATCTTTGGAAAATCTGTTCATGGCTCAAACATTTGTAATAGCAGTATATTTGTTTTTTTTTCCATGGTTAGATAGTCTAATCTAAAGTATCCTCTACAAAGTGGGATTTAAGCGAGACCTTCATCCTCCATAGTTCAGGTGTGCCACTGGATTTCCTAGAAGCCCCAGGACTGATATCTGTTGGCTTTCGACAACCTCAAAAACGATTGGAACACGAATGATTGATCATGCTGAGTCTGGTAGCAATGTCGCTTTATCGAAAAAAGTTGAAGAATCTAGTGAAAATCTATTTTGTCTAAAATGTGCCGTTCTAATTGCACTTGAGTATTAGAGTAAAACTGACATTTCCCTTAAAATCGATCCAAACGAGCTACGAATTTCTTCACACTAGTCTTATAGATAGAGAAAACAGAAATAAGACTGAGGTTAGTTGCAAAAAGGTGTGCACTCCTGAATATGGTGAAATGAACTGTGGCCGCACGTGAACATCGTAAAATGGTGTGTGGATACGTGTGAAAAATATATTCCACTTATGACAACGCGTGAATTACTCACAGAAACTTTTCGCATCATATTTTTCGCACGTGGTCACTAGTGAAAGTCGTAAAGCAGTGTGTGAACACACGTGAAAAGAAATCAAGGGAGAAATAGTGGACTCCTGGACTCCCATGTAATCCTGAAGTCCAGGAGTCCAAGAGCAAAAGTGTTCGTTTTTGGGAATCACTTCCCAAAAAAGGATGGGAGTCCAGGAGTCCACTATTTCTCCCTTGAAAGAAATCCTCGCTTGTGAACGTGTGTGGAATTGCAGAAAGTTCACACGTGACACCCATTTGATGTTGCAACTTCACGTACATTCTGAAACTTGGACAAAATTTCCCCATGAGCGTTACAAAATGGAAACATCTGGAATTTGATAAACAAATTACTGTTAAGTAGAGATAAGAGGTAATTAATTCAATTTAAAAAGTTAATTAATTTTTTTAATAAAAAAATATGCAACTCTTGGATTTCAAATGCTTGTTCTGATTTGATCTAATGGGAGAGAATGCTTAGCACATGTTTTGGCGTATAATATATGTTAAATTAGCTCACTATGACACTGATTAAGAGAGACTTCGCCAGTCGATCGAGTATCTTGCCCAAAACCGGTCACGAGTGAAAAATTGACATATACTTTTTATTTCATATTCGGATTCTACTATCCAAAACTGGGGTTATGAAAAATAAAAAAAAACTTTCTGACTTATTCTGGCTGAGTTATAGATTTTACAAATATACTGATGTTTTTTGACTTTTTTACGTTTTTTTAATGAAACATAGTATATTCAAAATTATAGAAAAGAATTTAAGTAAAATCATTTTACATACAAACAGCGAGCTTT